ACTTTCCCACATGATATCCATCAGTCCAAGCTGAGTGATGAAGAGCAGTCAGCCTACAACGAAGATGATGCTTCCAAATTTAGCAGCAGGAATAGTAGAGAACTGATGGATGGAGTTCTGGTAAGAACAGAGGAGGAGATTGCTGATGCTAGCCTGAAACAGAATGAGGATTCTCACTCTGGTTTACCCAGCACTTACGTTACTGAGGTAAGGGAGGGCGTGATACTTGGTGTTTTCCCCATTTCTGCAATTCTGGAGAATTATTTCATTGAATCCGGCCTTGATGTTAAGCTATTGGTCTGAAATATCTCAGTGATTTCATTTATACTGGTAGCTGAAGGGAGAAGGATGAAGAGAGACTATTCATAAGAGGTATAGTGACAGGACAAGGGGGAATGGCTTCAAACTGAAAGAATGTAGGTTTAGATGAGGCATCAGGAGAAAGTTCTTTCCTGTGAGACTGGTGAGGCACTGGAACAGGTTTCCCAGAGAAGCTGTGGGCTGCCTCATCTCTGGAAGTGTTCAAGGCCAGATGGTTGGGGCCTGAAATGATCTTCAAGGTCCCTTCCCATCCAAACAATTCTGTGATTCTGTACCACAGTTCTACAAGTATTTGCTGAGATCCTCTACCCTTGAGCTTCATTAGTGTGTTACAAGTATGAAAGTATCAGCATTTAATTGGGTACCAAGGCTTATATTTTACTTATCTGGAGTACTGAGCTGTGGAGTTGCTTCACTACTCAGGGTTCTTCTGCATGGTGCAGCATTGGTGGCACTCAACAGGTGCCTTCAGGTGATTCCTGCTTGATGCTGTTCTTTAAACTGGGCTGGTAATTGTCCAACACACCTGCATCAACAGATAGATTGAGCAAGGGAGGAGAGCTAGAGTATTTGGGGTTTGCTTTATAAGTCTAACATAATTCAAGATGCACCTCATTTTCCAGTTTTGAGGGCTTCTGTTAAACATCCTGCTCCAGCCAAGTATCCATTAAATGGGAATTTGAAACATTAAGCTACTTCTCTCTCTGGCCTCAGATTTGTTCATCTCCAACACCTGAGATGCAGAAATGAGTTTATCCAAATGATTACAGCTATTTGGATTGTTTCTTTCAGTTGCTGGAATTATGAAAATGACTAAGTCACAGAAAACAGAGGTGCTAAAAAGAAGATGATAACACTCTTTAGTCAGTACAAAATTCCTCTTCTTTTATGGGTTTGGTTAGGTTGAAATTTGGGAAAAGATGAGTTAGAATGAAACACCCCTTGCTGTTTTTTAGGACACTGTTCTCTACAGTAGCTGCATTTCTGCTTTGTCAGCCTGGAAAATCCATCATTAATATGCTTTGGCCTTGTCTTTGAAGAAGCTTCTAATAGACAGTGCATATTTGTTATGCCCTTACAAAAGGGAGAATCTTTGTACATTTTAAGTTTTCTACTACAGAAGCATCTGAATCCTGAATAAATCAGAAGATGGGGATTATTCTTCCATTTTCCTCTTTCTGTGTCATGGTTGACATAATTGTGATAAGATTTTCAACATTTGAGGCAGGCCATCAGCTTTCTGTTCTCATTTTAAAACTTCAGCTTCTCGAGGTACAATTAATAAACTTTTGATATTAACCTAGTTCCTAGTTTAACTTTGTACAAATTGCTCATGGCTAGCAGAATGTAAAACTAAACCTTTTTTTTACTATACAGAAAAACAAACTGAATTTGTAATTCTAATTTGCCTTACTCTTCAAGTCAGATTCAAGTTTGACATGTGTACTTAAATTCCAGGAAATAGTGAACTGTCTGTGAGTAATTCTCAGTGAAAAGTTACTCCAGAAAAACATGCCTACATTTTGTTTTCTTTAAGTCAGTGTTATTTTTATGAGCTTGCCAGGGTTGTATTGTCACTGTGGGTGGGTGGTGGGAGGCAGGCAGTCATGCTGCAGGGTTTTATTATTTCTGCCTGGGAAAGGTGCCCATTTGCCACAATGGCTTCTTTAGTTTTTCACGCCTCCTCTTCCCAGTTTCAGGCCCTGCAGCCCAGTGCTGCTGTGGGCAGAGCTGTGTGCTCTGCTGAGAGCTGCTCCTGCAGGTCAGGCACGCCGTGCCCTTGTGCATGGGACCTTGTGCAGTTCACAGCTTGTCAGCTCCTCTCCAGCAGCATCAAGGAAGGGATTTTCAGACAGCTCTCTTTGCAAAAACACTGTGCAGTTACGTAGGGAAACAAGTTTTCCTGCAAAAAACAAGGTGGAGGAACATTGGGATTTTCTTAAACACAGAGGGCTGTAATCTCAGTGATAAATCCAGGTACCTTCCATTGTGTCAGCAGCAGTTGCTAGCATTTTACATCAGGGATTCCTGAAGTTTGAACAAACCTCATCTGTGTTGCACATGAAAAACTGGAATCCAGATATCTCTGCTGGTTCTGGCAGTGATGTGTGGGATGACTTTTCACTGCATTTGTGGAACCAGGAGTGTGCTTTGACACTGAGTCAGCCAGATGTGTTGCTGCCATTCCAGTACCACAGGAGCCAGGGAAGAGGCAGGAGCAGCAGCAGTGGCAGGACTGGAAGAGAATGAGGGTACTGACAGCTGTACCTGGAAGGAATCAGTGTCTTGCCAGTCTTGTGGTACCATTAGGTTCAGCAGAACAAGTCTGGAGCCAAATTCCAGCCAGTGACAAACCAAGCAAGGCACAGCAAATAAAGGGGGTCTTTTGTGCTCTGTGTTCAGTGTCAGTTCAAATTTGACAACAGGAGTTGTGAAACGTAAGGTAAAGCTGTTGGGTTTATGGAGCAGGTAAGTGCTATAATGGTAATGCTTCAGTCTCAGAACATCTAGACAGAAAGCAGTGGAAAAGCCTAAATATTCCTCTTCATAGACTTAATATTTGACTTACAAGGGAACATTTTATCACCACCTTGCAGTGTCTTCCTTCCTCTCCACATTGCTTAACAGGGTAAAATTCTTCTCATCTTGTTTGTGGGTGCTGCACTAAGATAACATGCCCTCTAAATGCTGAAATAAACTATCTCAGGTGGTGACATTTCAATTCAATGAGATAAAACTCATCCAGAGTGGAGTATGGCTGAGCAATGCAGGTTTTTGTTTGTGTTACCATGAATACACTCTCATGGCCTGTTCTCTGTTGTGCAGGATCTGGGTTCCCCAACAATAGAAGAACAAGTTGATCAGCCTACAATAGATGATGAGACTGTGCTTATTGTACCTTCTTCCCATGGTTTTATCCAGGCAACAGATGATATGGATAATGAATCAGTCTTGCCCTTGACAACTCTCACAGGTATGACAGTCCCTGTCATTAAAGCAGTGTACAGAGCTTCTGAGTCTCTGCAGACAACGCTTCATACATCCTTGCTTTCTCTAAAATAATTTTACATATCAGTGCTATCAAACTGCAAGTAACCTAGCAAATACTCCTCCCCAGAGGAAGCATCTCCCTGTAGAGCCATCAGAGGGTCAGCAATGATAGTGCAACACCTGATGGATGGAAATGTGAGTCACACCATTGCATCCATATCCATCCATATTGGTTATCACTTACCTTCTCTAAAGATACTCACACCTGGATGTGGTCCTGTGCAAAGTGCTCTGGCCGAAGCAGCTGTAGCAGGGGGTTGGACTAGGGGATCTCCAGAGGGCCCTTCCAGCCCCAGCTATTCTGTGATCCTATGAAACTAGAAATTGCAAACTTCCCAGTTTGAGCAACACTGCCTGCAATTGGTTAGAATTCCAGGCTACATTTCCTGTCTCCTAAATTTGTGTTTTATATCTTGTTGTAATGGCACAGCAATAGTTTTAATGCTTTTTTTTCCCTTGCCAGATCCTATCCTGCAGCACCATGGAGATGGGTCACACATTATTGGCTCATCGCTGGGCAGTCCTGACTCAGAAGATTCCAAGGATGTTGAGGATTTAGTGAGCTGTCCCTGAGAAGCAGCAGTGGTGTCCATTTCCTATTGACCATGTTTGCATTGTGAAGTTAGTTACAACCTGTGCCACGTCTCCAAAGAAAGCAGTCACAGTCTGTCTCTTTGAACAGGAGCTTCCAGTGTGAAATGGCTGCGGTGCACTTTCTCTGCTCAGGCTGTTTCCCTCACCAGGAGGGAGGACTGAGGTGCCACGTCTCACTGGGCTGTTCCAGTGTGCTGAAGAGCCTCTGTTGCAGTGCTCACAGTGCTCAGCTCCATGCAGTCAGTTCTGATCTGACTTGTTACTGATGTGCTGAGCTGCACACGTGGAAAACTGGACAGAAGTCAAGGATTGTGGACTGGAGCCTCTTAGTGCCACAGCAAGTAGTAGTTTGCACAGGTTTCATGAAGAATGGGTGAGGATTTTTGCACTTACTGACTCTTGTAACACATGGAGTAAGAGACTGTTACATTTCAGGAAGGAGTGAGTTCCATCAGACTTCAGGGAGCATGGGCAGCATCGTGAAGCTGTGGTGTGTGCTCCCATCTCACCTGGCTCGTTCACATGTCTGTGGCATAGGAAGAAGGCAGAAGCTTATGGGACTTGCCTGGTCTGCTTGTTCCTGAGGAGTCCATTGCTGGCAATGGACAGAGCTCAGAAAGATCACTTGTGGAAAATCTTGGGGTTTTTTTGTTTTTTTTTTTCTTTCATCACTACAGCAAGCTAAATAAAAAGGGAAGGGCTATGAGGAAGGGAAGCTACTGGGACCCACCAGCCTCCCCCAACAAGCTGGGAATTTCTTGGAGATTGTTGTGAGTAGGTTGGAACGTTTGTCTCTGTTGCTGTTTACCTGACACTACCAGCCACCTCTCCAGATGTGATTCCTGCAGCAAGTTAGTAAATGGGGAGTGGTGTGGAGGTGGCAAAGTCTTGGAGGAATAGCTCTGTGAGAGTCTGGACATAGGGCCTCGAGGCAAAGAAGGCCAATTAATTCCTGCATTGTTTGAAACAGACACTAGGCTGAACAGCAGCCTGTTAGCTAGGAATCAAGAGAAAAAGCTATAGAAACTAAAGACTTGTATAAATTATTTTATTTATTTCTGTAATTAGCTCTTCATAATCAAGAGTTGGTCTTTTTCAGTCTGTGGTTTTGTTAATGTGAAAAATAAGTTGTAGTTTTAAATGGTTGCCTAGGGAACAGAAATAATTGTATATTCAGTTTCAACAAAATAAAGAGTATTTGTCTTACTTGACTGTAAGATGCCATTTATTTATACTGCCACAGATCCTTTCAGTGCTGCAGTTTATTTGTACAGTAATAAAAAAAGTGCAGTTTTTTTCCAAAATGAAAAAGCTTGTGCCATTCTGAAACATCAGTACAACTGGAATGTTCATTAAGCGCAACAGTAGCTCTTCAAAAAAAAGCAGAATGTCACGTCTTATGGCAATAATTCTCCCCAACAAGAGGGACATTACATATACATTTACATGAAAATCATGTACTGATTTATCCTTGCACAACCCACTTCTTTCCTCTCAGGCTGATGGTTCTCACTTGGATGTCTCGAGTGGAGCTGAGAGCTGAGCTGGAAGCAGTTCTGACACAGCAGCATCATTGCTGGGTATTCCAATGTCCTTCATTTACCCACTTCATGGAAGTACAGGTTGGCACATATACATAACATGACAATAGAAAACAATATGTAGTAAATTAGATTTCTAAATTTGGGTTCCAGGTCTCCTTGTCGATACCAGTAGATCTAGAAGAGAAAAGGAGTTTGTGATATTTCAAAAAGTCAGGTATTTGAGGAAACTATTTTTGGTAACTTAATTGGCAACTTGCAGGTTTTGGTGATTTAGTTTTGGTTTTTTTTTCCTTCCTGTAAAACAATCCAGCTTCCTGTGGCCAGAGGGACTGAGTGTGTGTGTCTGTATGTGAAACAGGCCCTGAGGACATGTGCTGTCAGCTTTGCTGAGAGGGAGGGAGAGTGGGTGGCTTTAACTCTCAGAGCTGGCTCACCCTGGTGGATGAGGACAAACAGCAGCTTTGCACTGACACAGCCTATTCTGGGCAGAGTTGTGGCCACCAGCTGTAGGATCAAAACCTGGGACTGGCCAGGCAATGCAGAGCAACTTCCCAGCGTACCCAGCAGTGAGGGGCTCAGGGCTGCTCCAGGTCACAGCTGCAGGAAGGAGAATGCTCCAAGTATGAAAACCACAGCAGAAGGAGGAGCCACCAATGTCCCTGCCCATGGAAGTGGGGTTGGATTGCATGATCTTTGACAGCCCCTTCCAACCCAAACCATTCTGTGATTCTGTGAACTCAGACCTGCCAGCTCCCTTTGCCAGTGCTCAGGACCAGCTCCTTTGGAATTCTGCAGTTATTGAGTAGAGGAACATCTCCCACTTGCTGTAGCTTCCTACCCCTGTAACCCATCCCCTGTGTTTGAAAGGACACTGACTAATGCAAGTGCAGGGCTGATCCGACTAAAGGTGTCTTCTGCAGCACAATCCATCTCTGCATTCCCATTTCAGGGCTCTGCTCCCTGGTTTCCTACTCTGTGACTGCACTGGCAATGCCACAGAGATGACAAGTCTTGCACCACAGCTGGGCTGCAGGAGCTGGCTCAGTTCACACACCCTGCAGTAAATACAAAACCCACTGCCACTCCCTCATTGTCAGCTTGTGTTATGGAGGCAGGAAAGCTTTTCTAGGAGAGTGTAAAAAAGAAGGCAGCACCACGTAAAGCAGGTTTTACTCAGAGCCATTGACTCAAAAGCACGGCAAACGTGGCGGTACTTACAAGAATGCCAGCAGAAATGCAACACAAGGAGATGCAGAAAGCAAAAAATACATTCACAGGTTTTGGAGGTAGTTGTGGGAAGACAAAAGCACTGATTAGAGTGACCTGTATGGAGGAAAACAAAGATGAGCATTTCAGGATTTCTGGCCAGAGCTGCAGTGAGAAGAGGCTCAGCCCAAGGGCTGGAGCAGAGCAGCGCTCACATCCTGATCTGCACACCCCTCCCTGGCCTCTGCCTCCCACCCCTGAGGAGCTGAAGGAAGATGTGCAAGTCTGGAGGAAAACTGCTTTGATACAGCTGCACACTGAGAGGAGTGAGAAAAAATCTTTGCCAAAAGCTTTGCCACACTGGCTCATTGCCACAAACCACCCTGCAAGTGGCCCTGAAGCCATCAGGCCCAGGGGTGCACACTGCCCATGCAGGAGCATCCCTGAGATTCTGTTTATAGGGGTTTCAGGATGAGGGAAGAGACAAGGATCTGACTATGTTCAGAAGGTTTGATTTATTATTTTATGATATATATTATATTAAAATTATACTAAAAGAATAGAAGAAAGGATTTCATCAGAAGGCTAGCTAAGAATAGAAAAGGAATGATAACAGCTGACTGTGACTGGCCATTAATTAGAAACAACTGCATGAAACCAATCACAGATGCACCTGTTGCATTCACAGCAGCAGATAACCATTGTTTACATTTTGTTCCTGAGGCCGCTCAGCTTCTCAGAAGGAAAAATCCTAAGGAAAGGATTTTTCATAAAAGATCTCTGTGACACAGCCCTTCAGCCAAGTGTTCCACCAGCTGGCACCTCCCTGTCCCCACAGCTTCCCTGCACCCCAGCTCTCCAACAATCCCCCATGGACCACACTCATGGTCTCCAGTTATGTCTGTGTTGGGTTTGTCTTTAAAGCTTGGGGAAAGCACAGCTCAACACAAAGGGACAAACTTTGGGAAGACTTATATAAGCCATAAATAGAGGACAATAAATCATAAATAGAAGGAAATAGAAGCAAACACGCTCTCCTGGCACATAATGCTTTGTTGTCTCGCCCAGCCTCATGTTCAGCCAGGATGGACAATCTGCCAGAGAACTTTGGGATTTAATTGCAGCTCTTAAAGAAATGTATTTCCCTTCTCCTGTTGTCAAAGACTTTCAAGAGATAGATATGTCCCAAAATGACTGCCTGCTCTTTGGTCATTGGAAGCTTCACCAGCCATTTTTGGGGAGGAATTCTGGTTTTCTCCCTAGTCATTAAAGATGCAACATGAAATGGGATGGGAGATACTTACTACAAGCAGCAAGGTTGTTAAGCCACCAACAACTAGATTGATGATTCGGTCCTGAAAAAAGAGATGAGTGTTACGTGTATCTAAAAAACCAACAACAAAAAAAATCCCAAACCACATAAAACAGAGCATTACCCAACAGCACTGAGGGCATCAGCCAGCATCCACATTATTGCAGCACACCAAGGCTCCCTGCTCAGCTCTGCCCCACACAGGAAGGCTTCCCCTCCCTCCACAGACCTCAGGGAGGTTGTACTGGTCAAGGCCTCCTGCAGGTTTGCTCATTTGCAAATGGCTTCTCTGCTACATCTAAATCTATTACAGTTGTGCAAATTGTATTTAAATCTTATTTTTTAAAGTGGGAGTGCACAGATGGAGGTTGTCAGAAAAAGCTTTTTTTAGCTTCACTGCCTGAGAATTAATAGACTGATAGAGTCTAAGGTGGGAATTTGTGGGCTGCTGGCAAGGAGGTGAAGCGTTGCCCACACCCCAAATGCTCCACCCTAACACAGTGGCTCTGCTTGGACAGACAGATATCCCCCCTCACTGCTTTCTGCTGCTCCTGATCAGTGTAAAACAACTGGGAGGACACAACTTTCTGCCCCTGGGACAAAGATCCCTCAGTGACAGCATCAGTCCCGTCCCAGTGGCATCCGTGTCACTGGCTGTGACACTGGGCTGTGTGACACAGGCTCACAGGAGCACCCACAGCAAGGTCCTGTACTGATGAACCTTCTGGAGTAAAAAACAAAGGAAAAGAAGAACCACATTCCAATCCCTGCCAGCACACTGCCTCCTCCCTGGTGCTGCTCTGAGAATAAACATGTATCACCACATGCACACAGCCAGGTGTGACACCCCACAGGGCTGACAACTCAAATCAAAGGCTAAAACAGATACAGCAGAAAAAATGTGCAGAGGGAAAACACCCCAGACTTCAATTAAGTGTTCTGAGAGTCATTAAGTAGGTATGGTGAAGGGAAAGTGAGAAAAGAGTTTGAGCAGTGAGAGCATTTTGCACAAATGCTTTCACTGGGCAACACGAGCTTCCCTCCACCTGCTCTTGCACGGTTCTTGCCTCCTAGAATTTGGATTTGTAGAGGGAGAAGTCCCAAGCCATCAAGAAGTAACACATGGCAGCAGCAGGGCACTAGAAGAAAGCAAAGAGGAGGCAGAGAGCAGCAAACCATGTTTCTGTAGGACACCACCAGCCCTGACCTGAGGCTGTGGAGCTCAGGGTGAGGTGGCTCAGAACAGGTGGATGCTGTGCCCTGGTTGTGCTCATCCCCAGGGGACAGGGCCACAGCAAGCAGACTTCAAAACCTCTCCTATCAGTCCCCAACTCCTCTTTGTAAAACAAAACCACTGATGCTCCTGCAGCCCAGAGGTCCCAGTGGTTGGAGCAGGGAGAAGTGACTCCCTCTCCTCCATAGGAAATTGTCACCAGCATCCCCTGGGCAAGGCCCTCTCCAGCCAGGCAAAAACCCCTTCTCCTCACTGGCATTTCCACACACAGAGTTGGTGATGTGGCAGCAGCCTCAGGGCCAGCTATGGGACACCTACCACTGACCCCACAAAGGAACCAGGAGAAGTAACCCCAGGCAAACAAGAGAAGCAACTTGAAAAGTGCAACCATGAAATGCTGCATGAGAGCAGCACATCATGACAGCTCAGCTGGACTCCTCCTCACCTAAAATAAAGAACTAAATGCTGACTTTAGGCAGGACATGGAAGGGTCCTTACCCTAAAAGCCACTCCAGCACCAGGAGAGGATGGCATTTCTGTTCTGCCCCTGTCCTGCAGACCTGGCTGAGCCCACCAAGGCAATGTTACAGAAGGACACCAGAGATGGTATTCAGGCTCAGCTCCTCTATTCAGGGTGGCAAGAGGTGAACAACTGGATCCCTTGTGCCAGGAGGAGAGACAGCAGGGAATGCCAGGGAGCAGAACCAGCAGTGGGTCACCAACTGCAGAGCTCACCTGGTGAGCACAGGGCACAGCCAGCTCTGCAGAGAGCTCAGAGGGATGGACACACAGTCAGTCACCATCCAGAAACTCAGCCATGCCTGCTCCTCATTAACTGAGACCCATTGTGCCAGGACAGGCTGGACTGGCAGGAGAAAACAAGGGGGTCAGACCTGACAGCAACCATGGAGCATTTCTCTCTTGAGTTCCAGTGTGGGAGAGAGCATCCCCCAGCACAGGGACCTCTCATCTCACCCTGCTGACTGAGGGACCTGCCAGGGCCAGCAGGATCAGGTACAGATGCCAGCAGTGCATCCAGTCCCTGTGGCCAAGGCAGCTCCTTCCCCTGCTTAAACCTGTGGGCACTCAAATTTTCAAAACACACTGCTGGCACAAGAAGGTATTTCAGGATGCAGGGATTAGAGACACTGATCCTGAAATCCTGGGCTTGGCAAAGCAGTGAGAGGCTGCATTCCCCAGTGCCCACTGACACTTCAGCCCCAGGCAGCTTAGCACAGCAAAAAGGTTAAAAATACTCAAGCAGAGGCCAAGACGGCTAAAGGGATTGGGGATGACGGAGCCTTTCACCTCGACACTGTGTCTGAGAGCACAGCCTGGCCAGGCAGACACTGCTGGGCATGCAGGAACTGCCTGTGGACAGCCTTGGGTCCTACAGGTCACCACCAGCACAGCTGATTCAGGGAGGATTTTTCTCCAGCATTGCTATGTACTGCAATAGCTGCTGGAGGAAAAGACAAAAAACCCCAGCAGGGACACCAAAACTGAGAGCCTGAGGTGACCTGGACCAGCCCAGGGTACTGCACACACACCCCAATTTCTGATAGAGCCCAGCAGTGCCCCCATGGGGGTCCCCATTCAGCCAGGCAGGAGATGAATTCCATGTCTCACTGTTGCACAAGATGCATTTGGAAACAGGAGGGTTCCTGCCCTGTCCTTTTCTCTGGGGAGGGGATTGCAGGGGCTGGAGGCACCAGAGTTCTCCCAGGGAGCCTCTCAGTGCAGTCTCCTCTCCCTCCATCTGCCTCTGGAAAGGGACATGAGGTCAGGAAGCGTCAAATCCTTGCAAAGCAGGAGGGCACAATCCAGGATTCTTGAGGATCTGGGTCAAGGTTACTTGGAGCAGCAGGGAAACTGAGGCTAGGCTGGGACTGTGTCTGCTCTCCCTCCACAGGCTGTGACAGAGGAGCAGCTTTGCTCTTTGCTCTATTCCAGCTTGGCACCTTCCATCCCTGAACCCTCCAGGTTAGCAGCGTGTGGGCTGAGCCCCCAGGGATCCTGAGGGAGGCTTGGCCGGGAGAAGCGAAAGGGCAGGTCCCCTGGAGTGTGGGTACCTGGTGCCATCTCTGCAGGAGTGACAGAAAGGCCATTTTTATGCCTGACATCAGCCAGTCCAGATGGTCAGCAGCCATTGCAGCCTGAGTGCAGTGCCAGGCCCAGCCTGGTGGAACTGCAGGCCAACCAGGCTGTGCCCAGGGCCATGCTGGACACCCACCCTCTGCAGGACATGGGGACATCCTGGTGTGTCCTCAAAAGCTCATCATTCCCATCCCAAGCTGCTCAGTCTCTCTATTGCCTTCTGCTTCCAAATTAATTCCAAATCAACTCCCACCACACAAACACCCCCACCACGGAGGAGCCCAACTTTGAACTTCTCTCCTGAGAGGTGCTGCACCTGTGGCACTGTCCCCTCCTTGCCACCGTGCAGCTGTGCCTTTGCCTTGTCTCACACCCCTCACTGCATCCCTGGAACCACAGCTGCATCCACAGAGCCTGGCACTCACTGGTGCCGTGTTCCTGCACTCCCTCTGCCCAGCAGCCACTTCTGGGCACCACCTTGCCCCAGTCCTGCTCAGCAGCACACAGGAGAGCCAGCCTGGCAGCTGGACCATGGCAGGGCAGGGGGGTGGGTGCTGCTGCCCAGCTCTGCCATCCCCACTGAGTGGCTTTGCCCTCAAAGTCACCAGCTTGGGGACCAGGAGAGTGCAGGAAGGCAGGAAGAGGGAATCCCCATCTCTACATCCATTTTCAATTGCTGGCAACCCTAATTTTGGGCTCGGGGCTTCCAGGGGCACGAGCACTGCCCCTGCCCCTCCCAGCCCGAGCAGAGGATCCCAGTTTGCCAGTATCAGCCATCCTTTGCAGAGACCCAAAAGCAGAGCTGGGACAGGGGCAGACACTCCTCCCGGCAGACCTGCTCCCGTTTAAAGGCAAAGTTTGGCTTTTCCACTTCTGACCCAGAACATTCCAGCTCGGGACCTCACCAGCGTTCCTTCCTAAGCAATCCCAGTGAACCAGGGAGGGAAGGACCCCGGGCCAGCACAGAGATCCCCTGTCTGTGGGACATGGGTACAGCAGCAAGAGCCCATGTGACAGATCCCAAAACAGCCACAGGAGACAGGCAGGGGGTGAAGTGCAGGACGCTGGATCCCCACCAGAGCCCAGAACTGAATTTAACATCCCACCTTTATTATTCACCACTCCCCCTTGCGAGAAGTGGCGTAGCTGAAAAAAGGAAGGGATCAGGCATCGAAGGCTTAACCTGGGCTGGAAAGTTTGGGAGTTGTGTGCCAGGACTGCTTCCCTGCTCCAATGGCACATCCCAGTCCCCAGAAGTGCCCAGTGCTGGGAGCTTCCCAAAATCCCTGACCCAAGTGCCCCAAAACCTCCAGCGCTCCCCATCAGGGCAGCACAGTTAGTGGGGTACCTGTCCCCCCTCAGTTCATCTCCTTGGGGTCCTGCCTGTCCTACAGTGAGAGCATTTCTCTCTTGACTGTTTCTCATCCACATCATTCCATTTTCCCCCGAAAATCTGCTGGGTATCACTTTGTTCTCATTAAACATTATAACTAGCAGCAGTTCCAAGTTCTTGCAGGGAGGGCGGTGATGGATTTGATTCACTTCTGAATAATCTCAGGCACTTTCAGCCTGCACCCCCAAACACACACGAGTGTGTAACCCCTCCAAACAGGGGACAGCCCCAAGTCACGGACGGATGATGTGACACTCCAGGTGATTCCCGAGGGATCCCGGTGCCGGGCAGCCCCAGGAGCCCCCTCCATGCCGGGCACAGCCC